AAGGCCAAGGGGATGCGGTGAAAGGAGAAAAGGACTGTTCTCAAGTACTAATAGCACCAATATATTGAAGCTATCGTATTGCCAGTAAAAAAGGGCATTTTAAGCCTTTGGAATGAGGAAAAGCTCATACATGGCAGTGCTTGGAGGAAAGGGGCTGTGACTGGATAGGGAATGCCCAGAGAGCAAGCACACAGGAGGGGATTGCGTCCCCCAGGCTCAGGTCACCCAGCCCTCCTCGGCCCCATCCAGCAGAGATCTCCGATCTCCCATCACTCTGCATCTCTGGTGCTCCCTGGTGTGCTCACGAATCTATGCACACGGCCACGTGCGCGCCCACATTCCACGTCAACATGACACGCTACCTTTGGGGCACCAGAGAATTCGCGCTTTGCTGTTCTGAATAAGCAGCCCATTCTCTCTCCAGAGACTCTCGCTTGCCCTGCATGTCCGGGGCCCACAGGAGAGCCTTTCCTGTAATAGCAGCGACCGCCAGCTGCAAGCCACCGTCACTTTCCCTCGTCACCCGCCGGCTGCAACAGGACTTGCTGCCAGGTACGTGCGCCCCAGAATGCAACCTTACGGTCAGCGAGGGCGGGCTGGGGCATGCGAGGAGTGGCTTTTATTTATTTATTTATTTAAAACATTTATATGCCGCCAATGGCATCCCTGGGCAGCTGGATTTGCCCTTCAGGGATAGGCTGGGCCGGCCCTTGTAGAGCAGAAGGAGTCTGATAAACGTTTTCTGCCTTGTCCGCCCACATCTAAGGGGTCCCACTCTAAAGTGCCTAAAATAATGACTCCCCGCACTAGAAAACCAGCAGAGCTGGGAGTTTCCTGAAGTGGAGATAAGCTACTGATAAGCTTCTTCCTGATGAGCTAGTTCCTTACTTGCAAGGAGCTATGCTTTTTTTAACCAAACCATCCCAAACTGGCAAAACGCATCCCAAGGGCCGTCTGAGGTGACGCAGGAGGCCGTCCTAAGTCGCTTCTTCCACCAGTCCTGAACACGTGAACAGGCTCCAGCGAAGAAGAGCTCCGTGTGTCTCGGACATGTTTCCATGGGACCTTCCTCAATTTTTGTATTTCTGATCTCTCCTCTTTGTTCCTCACTCAGGAAGTGGACTCGGGGAACAACATACAAGGGAACGGTTTAAAAGACCTCGTTATGAGTAAAGCAAGGCTTAGGGTTCAACTCTGCAAGACAGGAGGGCAGAGCTGAGCAACTTAAAAATGAACTGCATGGATAGCTAGACCACACACAGAAACTTTCAGACATTGTCTCTGCAGTGGATTCGCACACGCAAAATCTCAAGAGACCCGAGTGAACCCGCCTCTTCTTATCCTTCTAAATGCAACAGCACACTTGTCCGGGGGCAATTTTGCTTTCTTCAAAATGTGGGAAGACCGGGCTGGTGCATTTGGGGCGGGAGGAAGGGCTGACTCATTCTGCTTAAGCAGCACTAGCCTCCTTCTCCAGGGTCCTCCCTGGAGGGCATCACTGGGTCAGGTGGCCTTGCCTGGCACCAACCATTCCTCACCAACCAAAACTGCCCCTCTCGTCTTCCTCCCGTTAAGCTCATCCTACTATGTTTAACGCAACCGGGCTTCGGATCTGCAAAAAGCTCTCTTTTTTTCCAAACTGCCTTCTTGGAAGCGTCTCCCCTTGCGCGAGCGGGCATCCTTCGGCAGTGCCCACACGGGGAAGGCAGGGCAAGAGATGCGTGAGAACTCTCCTCTCTCTCGCCGTCCTCTTTCTTGCACGCATCTTTCTGGGACATGCCCTTCGGAGCTTTCCAGAAACTTCCCCGCACCCACCTGCTCGGCGTTGCACTCGGTCCAGACTCGGCGGGTGCCGCGCAAGGCGCCCGAGCGCCCCTCCCAGCCGCCGCCCCTCCCTCCGCTCGTGCGTAAGGGAAGCGCCCCCTCCGAGGAAGCCCTTTTCAAGGCGCCGCTCCCCTCTGATTGCGGGCAGCGCTCGGGCTCGGGCGGGAGACGCTGCCCTTAAGACCGCGTGGCTAGCGCGGCAAGGGCGTGCGCTCCCGTGCGCGCGTCCACAGAGCCCGGCTCCCCTTCCGGCTCTTCCCTGGCCGTGCTCGTGGCATTCCGACGTCTCCCGGTGTCGCAAGCTCTCCCGCGTTTGCCTTTCCCCAAAAGCAAATACCCTGCCACTTGGCCTAGCAGCGAGTCACAGCCGAAGAGCGGAGCTCTCTTCTGCGCAAAATACACTGGGATTAGTGCGCACGCGAGTCCGACCTTTTTTTCTGACGCTGGGAATGTTTTGCCTTTATTCTTCTCTGTGTGTGTGTTCTTTAAAATTCTGTTCTCTGCTCTGTGCGTGTGAAATCCTGGAGCTTGTTTTTACACAGGAGGAATCTTGCTGATTTCGTAAAGAAATAGCTAGGACAGAGACGTGTGACCTGCTCTGAAGTCACCGGCGCTGAGTTTAATCGGTTTCCATTCCTCCACCGCTCCTACAATACGCTCAGGGTCACCCTCGCTGCCAGCCTCACAAGGTTGTTGTGAAAGAGGTGTCCACGAGGTTCCTTCCTGAATGAAGGAAAGAGGCCTTCATTCAGTCAGTGTCTCCCGAAGTTTTCCAAAATTGTTTCCAAAGCAAGCACGCACGTGCGCGCAAAGCCGCGGTTTGGTTTTCCATGTTTGTTGCCTCCTGGGTCGTGTCCACCTTTTTTTTAGGACGCTTGACCCGAAAGGCTCCCCCACGAAAGCGCTACAACCCCACACCCAATCCCATCGCAGTTTCCCTGAGCTCAACGGGATGTACTTCCGAAAAAACATACTTGGGATTACGCCGGAAAATCCCTGGATTCTGAAAGCGTTTTCTAACTACTTTGGAGGTTCCGTGGGGCTACGTGGGGCTGGGATCTGGTGCTGAATTGCGCCGCCGTGTTGCCATTATTAACGGGTTATTATACATGGCGTTGTACAGGGTCTAAAGGAATTACTCCATGAGGCATTTTATAACTATAGTAAAAGTTGGCTCTTTGCTGCACTTGTTTAACACGGAACCTTTTTTGGAGCCCCTGCTCCTGGGAAGTCTGGGAAACCAGCTCCCACGGGAGTTAAAGGCTCCGTCCTGCACGTATTAAGACAGAAGAAAGTCCTACAATTCCCAGCAACCCCCGACAAGCATCGCTATCCAGAGAATGCCGGGAGCTGCTAGGCGGTTTCCCTCGCTTAACAGGCGGAAAACCTTCGCTCCAGTTACTTAGAAGCAAACCCCAATCAGTTCAATAGGGCTTCTCAGGAGAAGCCTGTGGAATTGCACAGGAAGTGTGTTTGGAAAGCACTTTCGGGGCCCGATCCTGTGCAAATTTGGAGAGGACAACGTCGCTGGAGGTCTCGGTCAGCCGTGCCCAGGAGCGCGCCCTGAGCAAGTCCCTTTGACGGAGGATTTGATCTGGAATTGCGGCCAGTGGCTGCTAAGGCGTTCGCCTCGGGGCGCGATCTCGCCAACTAGCCAGCAAGCAGTCAGCGCGGCGCTCTCGCCCCCTCCCGGCCGCTCCCGCCTTTGAAATGGGTCGAGATTCAACAGGTGCAACCAACGGGTCGTGCGCGAGGGAGGAGAAGCACCTGCTGGGCCCCACCTGTTGAGTGCCTGTCCCCCCGCCTTTGGCACGGCGAAGAACTTCTGCGAGGCGAGCTCCGCCTTGACCCGCCACCGTGCAGCCCAGCCCCTTCCTCCAGGGCAGCCCCAGTCCTGGGGCCGGTCTCCCGTGCCCCGCGGGCGTGCTGCGGGCGGCGGGAGCGGCGCCCTGGGCTGCAGGGTGGAGGACCCTCCCACGATGCTTTCTGGGCACAAACCCCGTGCATGTGCAGAGTGTGTGTGTGAGGGGGTAAGTCCTACAATTCCCAGCATGCCCCAGTCCTGAAGCGGGCTGAGAACTGGAGTCCTTTGCCCCGTCTCCGCAGACTCGGCTCGCCCCCCTCGCCTGCGTCTGAACTGGGGGATCTTGCGGGAGTCTCCAGCGTGTTTGCTGCGGGCATGAGGGGGGCTGCTGGCATTTCCCTCCCCTCCATTAGAGGGGACGGAGATGGGTGCATTCTCCCCTCCCCCTTCCTATTGTTGTGGGGCGAGAGGGACTGTCGCATTCTCCCGGGGGGGGGGGGTCCTGCGTTCCTCCCAATTTCCTTCCGAACTGATCAGAAGCAGAACTTCCACTTCAGTCGTGCAAAGTTCACCTGGGGGCACGAACGAGGGGCGCGTGGCGGCCACGAATGCACCGGGGGCGATGGGAGGGTGCCCCCTTTTTAGGGGGGCTTCTCCGCCTGCGCGCGCACCCAGCCAGCCGCCCGCCTCCGAGGGGAAAGAGCCGGGGCGCCGCGCGCCCCCTCCGCGTGACGTCACCCGCGTTCTAATTCCCACCGTTGCCCCGGAGACCCGCGGGCTTGGCTCCTCCCCCTCCCTCCGACCACCCTGCTCGGAGGGGCGGCGGCGTCTCGAGTGTCTCCGCCCACTTCCTCGCCTTCCCTGCCCCGGTTGGACAGGCGCGCTGCCCTTCTGGGGCGCGCCGCTTCGCCATTGGCCGGGACTCGCGCCCGCACCCCCCGCGCGGCTCTCGCAGCAAAACCCGGAGCGGGAGCCGCGCTCGTCTCCGGCGGGGCGGGCGGAGCGGGCGGGGCGGCTCTCCCGGGGCGGCTGCGGTTCGGGCGCCCGTGCCACAGGCTTGCGGGCCAGGAGGAAGGTTCCGGCCGAGGCCCTCCCAGCCCTGCCGGCCCTCGAGCAGCGCCCGGGGAGGGGGCAGCCGCTGGCGGGCTCGGACCGCCGGGAAAGCGGGGCCACGATCCTGCGGGGCGGGGGCCGGGCTGCGCAGGGGGGCGCGTGGCACGTAGCTGCATCGACGCGATCCCGAGGCACCCCGGATTCGGGGAGGGGCGCCGAGGATCCCGCGGGCGGGCGCGCGCAGGGCCCGGACCCGCGCAGAAGGGGAGGCGCGCGCCGGGCTGCCCGAGTGGTGCTCCAAGGGGCGCGCAGGAGACCCCCTCCGATCCGGCCTGCCCCCCCCCCCCAGGGCCACCCCGGCCACGCGCTAGAGCCGTGGCGGCCCTGCGGCTGCCCGGGAGATGTTACACCGCTGTTGCCGGCCATTATGATCCCAGAAGAGGAGACCCCCCCGGGAGAAGAGGCCGATGGGGATGCGGGCGGCGGTTTCCCGCTCCTGCTGCAGCCCTCCGAGAGCGGCAGCTTGCGGAAGGTGAGGCCAAGGGAAGGCTCGGGGCGCCGGGGTGGGATGAGGAGGTGGCGGCGAAGGAGACAGAGTCGGGTGTTACCCCGGCGGGTGCAGCAGCAGCAGCTCTCTGCAAACTGTTGCGCTCCGCTTGTGTCCCATCCTCCCCATCCCGGGCAGAAAGCTGTGCTGCGGAGCCGAATGCTCTGGAATGCATCCGGTGGGTGCACCTTTGCAGGAGGAAGGAGCACTATCCTGCGTCGGGTGTGGAAGGGGCACGGGTGCCACTCAGCCGAGGGATGCGCGGGGACGCCTGGCAGGACAGAGCAGTCCCGGCAATGCCCCCTTAGAAACGGGCGTGTGGCCCCCGAGCAAGCCTCGTCCAGCCCGCCCCGGCCCGCATTAAACTCCCAGTCTTCCCCGTCGCTTTCAGCCTCCCGCCTTTGATCTCTCTCCAGCCGGCTTAGTCCCATGCTTTCTGCTGGAGCTTTTTGCCCACGGCTGGCTGTGACGGCTGCTTTTGGCAGCTCTTTGTGTCTGCTTCTAACCGATAAAGCGAGACGCGGATGGCAGGGCTGCGCCTGGCTGGGCTTTCCAAGAGGAAGTGCTCCGGGCTGGCAAACAGACCTCTGGCATCGGCAGCCGAGCCGCCTCCGGGACCCGCGGTGGGTGATGCAGCTGGGCATGGGCGCCCCCCCCCCGCCACGTTCTCGCAGCCTGGCGGAGCCTGGCTTCTCAGCTCGGGGTCAGGTCTGCTTTCTCTGGCGCGTTTCCCACCACGCGTGTTGGGTGCAGACTTTTCGTGGATGCGGACAAAGCTGCCACAGAGTCATTCTGAGCTGTGCAGTCTTTTTCGCTTGCACCCCAGTGCAGGGCTTGACTCTCCCCACCTGCCGGCCATGCCTGTTCTGCCAGTCCGAAAACTTGCCGTCACGTCAGGCTCGGCCCCGAGGCCAGCCTGCCTTGACCATTCCATGGGCACCGGGCGGGCGGGGAGCTGCGGGCCGTCCGCTCCTGCCTGCAGGCTGCACCCACCCTTCCTATTTTATGCAGCAGGGGTGCAGCCTGAGGCTTGGATCCCTTTTCAGAGTTACTGGGCACTGCACCCGGTAGGTATGAGCGGCGCTGGAGGCCAAGGCGGGCGCGCCAAGGGCAAACAGATGGCTCCGAATGATAAAAACGCTCATGGCTCATCCTGTCAGTAGCTGTTTTTTTGGGGGGGGGGGTTCAGCCTTTCAGAATGGGGGAACAAAAGACTTAAAACACCTAAGGATGTGATCTGCAACATGTCTAAACAGGAAGAAGTCCAGTGGTTCCCAATCAGGACCTTTTTTCCTGTCTTATGTGCATAGGATCGCAAGCTCGGTGTTCTCTTGAACCCTGGCCCCTGGCAATGCCTCTCCGCATAGCAAGCTTAGTATAATTCAGGGCTGGTGAGAACAGTTGCTGGGTGTTTGCTAGTTGTCTTTGTTGTTCTTTTGATAAGGACTTGATGATACAGCTGCTCCCTGTTTATGTTACCACTGTAATTTCCAAACTAGATTTCCAAACTAGAAAACCCAAGAGAAAGACTTCCATTTGGTATAACTTTTCAATATATGTTGGGAGATGTTTATGTTATTTATTCAGTGTTTGATCGGATGCAGTTGCTGTGGTTTTGTTGTTGTAGTTTCTGTGTTTTTAACTTTTGTTAACCGCCCAGAGAGCTTTGGCTATTGGGTGGTACAAACATGAAATAAATGAGAAAGAATAAATTATGGAACAGTGTGTAATGTGAGATGGTTTTGACGGCTAGCATTTCCTGAAGGCCTTAACCTGTGGGCTGAAACAAAGATGAAAACAGCCTGCCTGATGGCACAGCCCTGGACTGGTTGCAGGGCCGAATTCTTCCTGCCCTCGCAAGGGAAGGTGCTGCTGAATTCACAACCTGTCTGCACTTGGGAGATCAGCCCTTTCCACGCTTGTGCTCTCAATGTGTTTAACTACCATTCCTATCAACTGGCGGGGGGTGCTGGGTATCATAGAATAGCTTTGATTTGATTTGATTTGATTTATAAAACTGCATCCAGTAGTCCCAAGGATGACCCTTTGGGTGGTGTACATTGAACAGAGCAGTATCATATAAATTATACAATAAATAAATAGTTATTTTTTAAAAATATTTAAAAACATAAACTGCTAAGATTGCTACATGATACTCGAGTAGAGTTGGAAGGGCTCTCTGAGGCCATCAAGTCCAACTGACCACGGTGGCCCATCACAACTCGGAGCTCTGGGTTGTGGGGGTCGCAGTATGAGGTCCGGCCCTTCGCCCTTTCTGTTTTACAAAGCCGTGTCCAGTTGCAAAGAGAATTTCTTCCTTTTGCAGTGATCTGTTTCCATTCGACTGTTGGGTTCGGATGCTGTGCCTGCACTGCTGTGACCCACAAAAAGCAAAGCCAGCCACGTTCATTCGTAACACCTTTATTATGCCAAAAGATGCAGAAATGAGCAAGGCTTTGGTGGTCCACCCCCTGGGGTCCTATTCGAGACAGGAAGGGTGGGGGCATCTCCAGCTAAGTCGGCTGCATCCAGCACAGGAGAGATTATTTTGTGTGCTTGTTCCTTGTGAAGTAATTTTGCGTGCTTTATAAGGGGTAAAAGAAAACCCCCAGTGGAGAGAGACAAGCACAAAGCTGGGCCCCCCTCTTGCAGATCAGGGTCAGAAGTGGGCCCCGGTTCTGGAAGGGGTGAAGACTGCCACCGGTGCGGCACTGACAGATCCGGGAATTTGCATGCGGGGTTGTGCTTAAGTGTGAAGGGACATCAAGATGTTTGAGAGAGAGAGAGATGGAGTTTTGCATTTGTCCCTCCGTCAGCTCACCCTGCCAGTCGCACGCCCTGTCATGGGCAGCAGGTTGCCATAGAGATCCCAGCAAATGGAGTGGGGAATACCAGATAGAGCCATTAATGTTATCTCTGTGGCTTGATGACGGCTGTTTTGCCACAGAGGCCTTTCTGCATCCGTTTCCTCTGTGTGGGGCTCAGCTTGGCTCGCGGCCCCATCACTGCGCATGGAACCCCCTTGCCTGTCGCCAGCCAGACCTTCTGTTTCAGGGTGGAAAGGCGCATGCAGGTCCCTTCTCTGTCCCTTTGACAGTTTGGAGGCCAGCTGCTTGATCTTTGAAGCTGGCAGAGACATTCCCTGTTGATACCATTAGGAATACTGATTTTTATACTGCCCAATAGCTAAAGTTCTCTGGGCAATTTGCAAAATAGTAAAACTTTAAATATACTGTATAAAAGTTACCATAAAAGGCATTTATGTGCAAAATGATAAAAATCAATCATACTAGAAATCTGCAGCCAAACCCCTGGGAGTTGGTGCCTCCCTGGGGAGATTATTCCGTAAGTTACAGGCCAGCATCCAGCCAAGTTGGCATGATATTGAGGTGACATAGAAACACAGAAACAGCGCGAGTCAGAAGGGGCCTCCCAGGCCATCCAGGGCTCCATCCGGCTCCACTCACGACATGCCCACCATGTGCACATCCAACCTATCCTTGAACACCCGCACTGGTGGGGCCTCAACCACCTCCCGTGGAAGCCCCTTCCATGCCCTCGGGGTCCTGACTGTCAAGAAGTGCTTCCTGGCACCAAACTGAGCCTTGGTGCCTGAGCTTGGCTCCGTTGGAGCGCGTCCTGCCTTCCTCTGCAGGGGAGAACCGTCTCTACCCGCAGTCTCACATACCTGTGTGTCGCCAACAGATCCCCTGACATTCTCCTTAAACACACCAGCACTCAAGAGTCTGGTGGCTGCATTTGTGCCAGTCGTCGTTTCTGCATAACCATCAAGGGCCGCTCGGCACAGAATCCTCCAGGTAGTCCAGTCGCAGTGCGATGCAGACATGAAGTGACCATGAGCCAGGATCACCCGATCCAGGGGTGGTGTAGCTGCCCCGTCGGCTTCAGAGCTGCTCTTGGCCGTGGCATCCACCCACAACCACAAGCAAAGATCTCCCCGAGGTGGCCCGCCTGCACCTGGGGTGTGCCACTCTGTCGGCCTCCATGCAAAGGGGCTGTCTGCCCCCTTTGCTGGGCAAGGTATCACAGCTCCTGCCTGAAACGATGCAGTTCAGCCACAAGTTTACCGCTTCGGGGAGAATAGGCCACTGTCTAGTCGAGCGCAGAACAGTGCCCAGTGTAGCTCCACTTGTGCTTTTCCAGTGAAGGGAACTTTGCAGTGATGAACCTTGGAAATAAACCATCCCAAGGCCAGTGTTTCCTGCCCACTTCTCTGTCTGTTCAGTTCATGCCGCCTTCTCCCACCTGTCTCCATTTCTTTCTTTGAATATGTGTGTCTAAGAGAGAGAGGCAGTAAATTTACTAAACCAGAGCAAAGGCATATTTTTCACTTCTGTCTGGTGTTAGCCCTACTTAAAGTAGACCCATTGAAACAAACAGCTAGACCAAAATTGGATACACCCCAACGTTACTACATATTTTAAGCATAATTGGATTGTGTTCTCATTTCAAGCATCATCAGAAATGGATCCATTTGCATCAGTGAGACCTAAGGTAATTGCAATTAACTTGTCCCGTTGATTCCAGTGAGTCTGTACTAAATAGGACTATGTCCAAATACATACAGATAAAAACATACAATATAAAATATATCAATATGACAGCTTTAACGGATCCTCGTTATCCTACACTTTTTTCATACCCAAATTGTACTGAAATTCCAGAAAAGAATTTATAGGAACCAACTATTATTCAAATACTTTCTTGTCTTAACCATGTGAATTCTGTGAGTTTGGGCTATATTCGCTGTTCTGTAAATCATTATGAGGTGTTCTTTAAGCTGTGATGGAGAAAAATACCCCCATTTCTGAGTTATCAACATGGTAGCTGCTCTTAATATGTTCCAAAGTCTCATGACTTTATTTGGGCTATGCAGTATCCTGAAAATTCTGCGGGAGGCTCTTCAGGTGTGATCTGATAAATCAGTGCGGATGTTGCATAGCGGAACGATGTTCATCCAGAAC